ATTCCTGCAATAATAATTCTACCATATAGTGTGACAAGAAGAATGCTCAAGTGGAATCTGCAGTATGCCTGGAGTAACTTCTTACCACTATGATACACAGTGAAGCGTTACTGTGTAATTTGTCAATTTCTATAGGAAGTAGTTCAGAAATTCTGAGTCTTACTAAAGTAAGTAGTTTCTTTCTCCCTTATGTTTCTGAGTGTTTTTGGTAGGTGACGAATGCAGCATTGGTTCAGCAACGGACCTGACTGAAACAAGTTCTGTGGTGGATGGTGACTGGACCATGGTGGATGAAAACTTCTCCAGTCTAAGTCTAACTCAGTCAGAGCTTGAACATATCTCTCTAGAACTGGCTAGTAAAGGGCCGCACAAGTCACAGGTCCAGCTGCGGTAAGTAACGTAATCTTGGCATTTGAAACTTAAAATGACTAGTATGCAGCATCAGGGGAAAGAAACACTGTCTACAGAATCACACTAGGATTTTGTCTCCAGAATGGAAAAAGAAATGAGTAGACTGTTTTTTCATATAGGTACTTGCTACATATCTTCATGGAAGCAGGATGTCTGGATTGGTGTATTATCATAGGCCTTATCCTCAGAGAATCTTCAGTAATCAACCAGGTTTTCAGTATAATGCAATCCTCTGATATTGATGGAGAAATCTGTCAGAATATCAAGACTGGCCTATATGCTGTTGACAAATGGGCTTCTACAGATTGGTGAGTGTTATTTTCCTCCTTCATTTTCATTCCAGCTGTCAATAATTAGTTACCTAAAAAATAACGTTTTGAGTTATCTCAGCCTGAGCTGAAACAATTATTTAAAAGCACTTCTGCAGAAAATTTCAGGACAGACACGTAATACAGTTGTGATTGATCTGGGAAAAAACCCAACAAACCAAACCCAAAACAACCAACCCTCCAACTTTTATTGTTTGATTATGGTTGCCTTTTCCCTCTGTTTATAAAAAAAGTCTCTGTACAGGAAGGATTATAGAAGATATTCATTTATATTAAACATCTCCCAAGAAAAGCTGCTTTTCAGGCATATGACGGAAGTACTATTTTTTAATTCACTCATGGTGTTCTATACCATTATTTTCCTAGCCCTGGGTACAAGCCATTTCTAAATATCATCAAACCACAGATCCAGAAACTAAGTGAAATAGCAGAAGAGCAAGTACAGCCTGAAGCTTTTCAGCCAGTGAATCCTTCTAAGGTTACCGAGCAAGCGAATCCCAGAGCTGAGGAAAGCAGGACTTCATCTAGCCATGGCACTAATCCTCAAAGTGATGCTGGCAACAGCAATGCAAGCAGGCATGAAGAGGACAAGTCTAAGACAGAAGATGAGGATTCATGCCAAGAAGGCAATTATGACTGTATTGTGTCTTAAACGGAAGATGAACAACTTCCCAAGCATCAGGTGTGAAAGGAAGCAAACCAGCTCTTAGACATGCTTCCATGTTTTGGATTTGAACTCTTCTTTTTTTTTTTTTTTTTTTTATATATTTCACTC